TGAAAACCAGGTGGAAAGACTTTAGAAATGGCTTTGCAGGGATTTTTATCCCAAAATTCAGGTTCCATTTGTATGACTGAAGAAAATTTTCCTTTTGCCATATAATGGTTAGTGTTTGAAGACTTTTGTTTGTCCTTTTGAAGGTTAAGGGTATTTTCTGTTTTGTTAGGATAGCTAACTGTTTTTTGGGATTGGTTGAAGGACTGGATTATAGTGTTTAGGCTAGCTAAATCTATCTCCATATCTTCTTCAGAGGCAATATCTGCCCACGATTTCTTTGGTAAGTTACTCAAACTTCCCTGTTGGACAGCTAAGAGAGTGCTAATCGGTAAAGCATAATCTGCTTTAGTCTGTTTGGTCGTTTTGATAGAAGAATCAGTCTTTTTGAAAGATTCTTTTGGAGTTTCAGATTGCTGGGTTGATGACTCAAAAAATTTGGATTGCTTTTTGAGTTGATGACTCAATGGGGGTAGATGACACAAAAGATAAAGATTTTGAATCTGTTGAAGCAGATTTTGATTTTGATTTGTTTAGAGTTAGGGCAAGCCTGACTCTTCCTCCTCGAGAAGTTCCACCCCTAGTTGGGGTTGTTGCCTTTCTAGGCATATTATTTATCATGTAAATATTCATGAGTGAGATAATCAGGGAGAGAATTGGAGGTGTCTTTGATATATTCAATTTCAAAATCAAAAACACTTAAAATTGCTTGCAATCTAGCAAAAATTTGTTTTGAGGCAAGGTTTTTAACATCCTTTTGTAAAATTTCTTTGGCGGACTTGCAATCTACTCTGATAAGAAATTTTTGGTTTAACAAATCTGATTAAAATTTTGAGATGCATAAAACAATAGCTAAAACCTCTTTTTTAACAGTTGAGTAATTCTGTTGTGCAGAATTTCAATGTTTTGAAGTATATGCAATAATATACTCATGTGACTTGATTCTTTGTTTGAGAATGCCACCATAACCTATGTCAGAGGCATCAGTTTCAACAATTTTGAAAGCTTGAGAAAAAGGGAGATAAAGACAACTTATCTCTCTGACTCTATTTTTAATATCCCTGACGACATTGGTATGAACATCAGTCCAGGAAGGGGGATTATTTTTAAGCCTATCATGTAAAGGCTTAATAATATTGTTGAGGTGTGGAATAAAATCACCTACATAATTAAGACATCCTAAAAACCTTTGAAGCTGAGTTTTATCAAGGATTCTGTCAAGAAATTTGTCAACAAATTCAATGGATCTGCTGATAGGAATGATAGTTCCTTGATGAATATTGTGACCAAGGAACCTAATATTGTTTGGAAACAACAAGTCCATTTTGTTTGATAACATTGATAAAAACATTTATATATTTAAAATGCTGATCAATAGAATGAGAAAAAATTAAAGATCTCTTAGACAAAAAACTCATCAGAAAAAGTAAGAGTCCTTGGTCGTGTTCATTCTGGTTATTGTCAATGGGTTTTCTTCTTCTTTTTTGGAGGTTTGGTAGAATTTTTAGGAATATTAGAAGAAGTATCTAAACCTTGTAGGTTTATATGTGAAGGATCATGACTAACAAATCTAGGCATTTCAGACCTAGAAGTTTGTGATCTATAGGAAAATGACCTCCTAGCAGAGGCAAAATCAGAGCGACTGCTATAAGCATCAACTCTAGATGAGAAGGAGTTTCTCCTATCAAAGAATATTTCAACTTTCTCAGAATTATCCTAGGAAATATTTTGAATTTGAGGAGCAAGCCTTGGAACACAAGGCGTGGCCTTATCCAAAACCCACTTCTCTCGGAGAGAAACTTCATCCCATTTGAACATAGCTACGCGCACAACCTTTCTACAATAAGGCTTTTGTAGTTGCCACTTTTGCTCTTGAACATAGCTACACGCACAACCTTACTCCCCAAAAGCCTTCAGAGTGGTTACTTTCACCATGAAAAGTAGTTATGTGCACCATGTTCTTACTTCAGTCTCTCTATAGTGTCTACTCTTCACCCTAAAAGTGGCTACGTGCACCATGGATTCCCTTCTAAACCTTTGAAATGTCTACTTTTGACACACAAAGTAGCTATGCACAATATGCTTCACTCTTTAACTCTCTAAAGTGTTTACTTTTTGCATTAACAGTGTAGCACACTGAACTCTTTTTGAACACTTAAAGGTAAAGGTTTCAATTTATGTGCTTCCCTTGGAATTTCTAAAAATCCATCAAAATATGGATTTATCACCAGCCATTAGAATCACCAAAATTGTCGATCTACAACTCCAAATATCAACAAAGTAAGACAGATAGGTCAATAGACTTAAAAATTCAAAATTAAACAACAATTACAATTAAAGCCCAATTAGGTGAATTCCAATTAAAACAATGAATTTAATCATGAAAGCAGTACAATAAGCCTAAGATTAAAGGTGTTAAGTGTGCATAAAAATATGCTCTTCATGCTTGCCCCTAAGTCACAAAAGGTTCTCCTAATGATAAAATTTCCAAAGACACATGGTATACTAAATAAGCCTGGATCCTTGAGCTTTTGAGACAATTTCCTTTGGATGATGGCATTGCACTCTTCAGTCAATGGGACTGTTTTATCATCTTCTATCTTTCTCTTCTTTAACAATAGCTCTTTCATGAATTTAGCATATGAAGGCATTTGTTCTAATGCTTCAGCAAAAGGAATCTTAATCTGTAAGGAGCCTCACAATGAGTAGGACACTACAATGCAACTCCAAAACCTTAAGGCTATGGGTGCATAGGTCCAACTCCTTATAGACCCCTAACTTGCCCATATCTTATTCCATGAGGAACTCAATTCCAACTTGATTCCAACACTAAACACATCCAAAATTTCTCAAACTATTTTTCCTACTTGGGTTTAGGGTTTAGGGTTCAGGGCTCTTTGAGAAAATGAAGGCCTTTTATACTTATCCTCATCTATTGGTTTGGAAGCATCCTCAAATAGTTATTTTTTAGTTCTTTTTGGTTTAGTGCAAGTGCTGTCCTCTGATTTTTCTCTTCTTAGAAGAGAAATTTCTTTTGATTTCTTAAAAGCTAACTTTTTCTCCTCAGCTTAGGGGCTAGAAACCATTGCTCCATTTCTTAGTATGACGGCATGACATTGTTCCCTTGGATTCACAATAGTATTGCTAAGAAATCTACCATCATCCCTATTGCCAACTGTTCTAAAAGTTGTCCGATTTGAGTTTCAAGTTTCTTTATAGGTGCTTCTTGATTCTTGAAACTCAACTAGGTCACTTTCATGAATTGCAGTAGTGTCTCTTCCATTTCATTCATCCTCTTTGAAAAAGGTTTTGAATATTGATACCGTCTTTGAGGTTGAGAAGAAGATGCTCAAAAATATGATTGTAGAGGCTAAAAATTGACTTTAGAGAATGGTATTGCTGGATTATTACTCTTTGTTGTAGGATTTTGTTAATTCCACTTTGTTCTTCTCATTACAACTTTGTTTCCTAGATAAATATCATTCTTGAGAAAATAAGATTTATAAACTTTTTTCAAGAAAATAATTTATTTGACACATTTGTAAAATATAAAGTGTAAAGAAAAGTAAATATTTAAATAAAATAATATTTATTATTTCATCCTTTTTAATAAATCAAACTTATATTTGTAGTTTTAAAAATTAAGTTTTACTTAATTTGTAGGAATATAGCTACTATTATTATCAACACTCCTTTCATAAGTAGAGTACAAAAAGGAAGATGTTACACTACCACCTATATACATAGAGTAAGAAATTGCCTCCCTTACATTTTCAGTTTTCAAAGTAAAAAATCAGCAAAAAGTGGGTTTTACGTTCTAGGTCCAGTTTGCATAAAATTTGTCGTAGAAAAAAAATAAGTATAAAAATATCATAATTTCTCAGTTAATGTCATTGGGAGCTTTCAAAATTTTTCTCACTTAACAATTTTCTACTGCTTATGTTTGTTTAGAGGATATGCACCAAATTAACTTGTCAATATAAAATAATAAAAATAATCCCAAATCAGTAAATATTTTTTTCTACATTTGGGTAAATAGTATTTGAAAATATCCCAAACTGATAACAAGCCTTAAATTACTCTATTATTAAAATTAAACAAATTTGATCCTTGTGTTAATTTTTTAATTGTAAAAGCTTAAATTAAAATCACACAATTTAAATTAATGAGATTAAAAATGTCACCAACCATCTTTTAGTTCGGTTTGGAAACATATATATAGCAGGAGCTGAAAGAATCATTTCTCCATCACAATTGAATAATCATAGGTATCAATTGAATAATGCAAAGAAAAGAATAAACTTGCTAGTTTCTATACTTGCCCCCATTATGAGGAAAAGGCAAAGCACATATACCACCGTACACAAATATAAAACAGATAATAAAGTTATAAAGAAAGAACGAGTTGCATATAAAAATGGGAAAGTATAAGAAAACACAGAGAAATTTAAAACAACTAAAATAAAGAAGTAGAATAAATCGTCAAAAGTGATGAAGAGAAATATCATGAATTTTCATGATATAATCGTAAAAACTGCATTTGGCTAACTAGAGGTTTCGAGTGAGTTTTTTTTCTCCTTATTTGTTGGTAAATTATCATTTTGATGCTTCAATTTTTGTTTTTTTAATTACTTTGAAGCCATGAGAATGCATGTTTTTTGTAAGGATTATACAGAATTATACTTTGGTAGTTTTATTCACTTTTGTGTAAGAATTATACAGACTGCCTATAAAGTAAGTGCTCTAATTAACATCATATGATTATGGGTTGATGTTCATAGTGTAATACATATGTTATTCATGAACCCAACAGGAGTTTTCATTATTTTTTAACATGTTATTCTATTTTAGTGCATTCTTCGTTATATCCAAGTCCAAAATCCTTATAATTACGATGTGGCAATCTTCTGATTGAAAATGTAAATCATGTTTTTTAATTAAGGAAATGTGAATTTATTATTTACTCATACATAAATTTCAGGTAAACAAATCAATTGAACACCATGTGCAAGACAATTCAAATGCATGGATTCCCATCTAATGTGTCTGCAGAAGAGGTATGCAAATTTTTGGAGCAACATACAGGGGTCCAAACTGTTCATGCCGTAGAGGTTGGGCAGCATAAAGAAGGAGATCCTACGAGAAATGTTAATGTTCAATTCACAGACAGAAGGAGTGTTGAAACTATCTTGCTCTTAGTTACTCACAACCTGTCTTACAGTGACAATGTTCTAAATGCTACAGAAATAGAACATGACATTGTGCCAAAGCCAAGGATCTTTCCTCACAGCTTGGATGATATAGTAGTGCACTTTGGATGTCAGACATCCAAGGACAAACTTAGTGTTCTCTGGGATCATCCAAATGCTTCAGTTAAATTTGGATCCAGATTAAGAAGGATGTATATATTTTTCCATTATTTGTCTATGGATTATAAGCTGCAGATTTCTTCCGAGAGCATAAAATGTATTCAGCTGCATCATTCATCTGATTTAACCAAGAAGATTCTCCTTTTTCAGGTTAGTTTTTTACTCAATTACTGTCAGATTCCTTTACTTTAAAATAATATGGGAATACAATTCCTTAAAATTAATAAATAAGGTTATAACATGTATCCATATCACCTAGTTTAGATTTAAGTAGGCTTGAATGTACTCAAAATCTCATGTGTTCTTGTACATTTGTTAGGAAAACCCATCCATTCTTAATATCTTGCAAACAATATATGAAGAAGAAGTATTTGGTTTTGCAGAATGACAATGCAAGAAGGTTCTTAATGTTACCATCCCTGCCTTAGTGCCCTTTACATACAATTGTTTTTCTTTTTTGTCAATATTTTACTTGTTTTACATAAGAAGATAGGCTTATTAGATTAGAATAACATATTACAATTCTTTTCTGTTTTACATAAGAATAAGCCTATCTTAAAGGAAAAAGATTAACAAGTGGAAAATGTTTAAAATAGAAAAGTTCAAAAAAATTTCACTTTAATGCAAATATTCCTCACTTTACATTGACTCTATTTGAAGAAGTGCCAACTCTGATCCCCATGACACAAATAGTGCTACAAAGTATCCATAGAATAAGTAGCGAAGTGCAGCATGTTATAGCAGTTGGTTTTGCACAATATCATGTCAATATTGTTAAGCACTCACTATTTTGCTTTATTAGAGTATACAACTCAGTTGTATTAGTTTAGTTAGTTTTGTATCAATTTTTCTGTTTTTATTATTTACAGAATCTATTAGCATTTCTGTTTTTATTAATTAGTTACATAATCTTTGAAGCACTCAACTCCAACTATTTATATCTGTGTAACTGATCTAAGCAATCTCTCAATTATATATTGAAAAACTCCTAACAGAGTTTCTTTTCTTCTCTCTTTTCCCTCATTCTTTTCTTCCTTCCTTGCATTCTATTATGCTTCAACACAAATCATGTTCTTGTAGCTAAAACTTGACTTGGGCCAGTTTGGATAAACTTTTCATAAAGTATTTGTAGAGAAGTAAGTAAAATAACTCAAACTCTTTCAAAAGCTTTTTTCATCTAAATTTCCAAAAAGTTTATGTTCACTAGTTGATTTTAAGTTATGGAAAAAAATTTATTTTACCTTTATATAAGAAAACTGGACATTTTTGTCTGCTTGATACAGATAAAGGAGAAATCTTATTCTTCCACTTCTTTTCTTAATTTTTAGTTATGCAATGCTCCTCTGATCTACGAAAAAGATATTTCCATAAACAAATATTTTAAGGAAGTTTATGACAACCATTGGTTTCGAGGAGTAGATTTCACCCCATCATGTAGCATTGGACAATCCTCTACTTTATGTCTTGAGCTTTCTCAAAGTGTTGAGTTTCCAAAATTCCGTCAGCACTACCGTAATTATAATGAAGTTGACAACAGCATCTTTACTATTGAGAGACACCTTGGTTTCTATTCTGAATTAAATTTTGTCCCCATGGTGATCCCACCAGAAGGATTCAACTTGCCATACAAAATTTTGTTCAAAATCAACTCATTAGTTCAGCATGGATGTCTTCCTGTGCTAGCAATTGACATAAACTTTTTTCATCTGGTTGATCCTAGAAGAGTAAAGCTTGAATATATAGAAAGTGCACTGCATAAATTATATCAAATGAAAGTATGTTGCTATCACCCAGTACAATGGTTGGAGAAACAATATAAAAAGTACTCAACAAACAGTCTATTTCCAGTCTCTGGTGCCATTTCTTTAGATGATGGGTTGGTCTATGTTCATAGAGTGCAAGTAACTCCATCCAAAATCTATCTCTGTGGTCCTGAAGTGAACCTTTCCAATCGTGTCTTGCGCAACTATCCTGAAGACACTGATAACTTCCTTCGTGTTTCCTTCGTTGATGAGGACATGGAAAAACTTCATTCAACAGATTTGGTGGCACGTTCATCTTCTATAAATGTGGAAAGAGAAACAAAACTTCATGAAAGAGTACTGTCAACGCTAAAAAATGGCATAGCAATTGGTGATAAAAAGTTTGAGTTTCTTGCCTTCTCACCAAGTCAATTACGGGATAACTCTGTGTGGATGTTTGCATCAAGAACAGGACTTACTGCATCTGATATAAGAAAATGGATGGGAGATTTTCATGAAATTAGAAACGTGGCCAAATATGCAGCAAGACTGGGTCAATCATTCAGCTCTTCTAGGGAAACAGTGAGTCTTGGCAGCCATGAAGTTGAAAATATTCCTGATATAGAGTTGAGAAGAGGTGAAATTAAATACTGTTTCTCTGATGGCATTGGGAAGATATCTGCTGAACTGGCTGAAAATGTGGCTAAAAAATGTGGTTGTAGAGATAAAATTCCATCTGCATTTCAAATCAGATATGGTGGGTACAAAGGTGTTGTTGCTATTGATCCAACTTCATCAACTAAACTGCTCTTAAGAAAGAGCATGTGCAAGTACAAGTCAGAAAACACAAAACTAGATGTGCTGGCATGGAGCAAATACAAACCTTGTTTCCTTAATCGTCAAATAATCACTCTCTTGTCCACACTTGGGGTTAAGGATCGAGTCTTCAGAAAGAAACAAAGGGAGACTGTTAATCAACTGAAAATGATATCAATAAATCCGTTGAAGGCAATAGACTTGATGCCACCAGGAGAGATTATAAACCTTTTAAGGGAAATGCTCATTTGTGGCTTTCATCCAACCAAGGAGCCGTTTCTTTCCATGATGTTGCAAACATTATGTGCATCAAAATTACAGGAATTGCAGCTCAAAACTAGGATATCTGTTAAGAAAGGAAGAGCAATGTTAGGATGCTTAGATGAAACTAGGACATTAAAATATGGAGAGGTATTTGTGCAGATATCTCACCTAAGAAATAAGCAATTTCATGATATGTCCTCTCTTTCTTCTAATAGATATGGATCAAACCAAAGTAAACATATTATTAAGGGAAAGGTGGTTGTAGCTAAAAATCCCTGCCTGCATCCAGGAGATGTTCGCATTTTAAGAGCAGTGGATGTACCTTCCTTGCATCATATGGTGGACTGTGTTGTTTTTCCACAGAAGGGGAGAAGGTAAGACTTCCATTTTAATGTTCCCATTCTCAACACACCACACACATGAAGACATTGATTCAAGTGCACACTCCTTTCACAGTAACATTCCACACATAACCTATCCATTCAACCATTTATTTTGAAAGCAACATAACTTAGTGTACCTAAATATCAGTTGAGAAAAATACAAGGTATTGATAGGATAGCATAGCATAGTAGATAGTATTTGAGTGTAAAACATATTTTATGCAGAAAAAAAAAATCATGCAGGTGAGGGAAAGATATTAAGTCTATTTTTGTGATTAAATTGAAGGGAATCGCTGTATTTAAAGTGATTGATAAGATTATTTTGGATTTTCTTTTCATTGTTATTTTAGGATTCTTAGAGCGTTTGGCCTATTAGAGTATCAATATCTACCATTTATACATTTCAACCACCAAGGAAAAATAGATAGATGAGATTACATTTATTATGTGTATGTTCTTTTCTGATTTCAAAGGATTTCTTATCTAGACCACATCCTAATGAATGTTCGGGAAGTGACTTGGATGGAGATATCTACTTTGTCAGTTGGGACCCTGATCTAATTCCTCCTCGTCAAGAAAATCCCATGGACCATACACCATCTCAAGCTATGAATGTCGATCATGATGTTACATTACAGGTATCGACTTAAAATAGAAGTGTAATAGCAAATTTATAAGTGAATTCTTTTAAAATATTCCTTTCAAAAGACAATTTCTCATCCTCATAATAGATATCTATTTAATTAGTACCACCCTAGTTTCTCATTGATTGGTGATATATGTCAAATGTTTCTGCATTAGAGATACAAATGCATGAAAATTGAACAATGGTTTAAAATATTTCATTATTTCACCTTTTGGCAGATTATATAGTTTCATTTCATATGCCTCAACAGCTTAAGTTATTGGTGTTTTGGAAATGAAATAATTATCCAAAAGTGTAAAAAAACTCTCAATTTCTTTTTTGTATGTAAATAATTATCAATTGTGCATGTAATTGCAAAAGGGCGTGGAGTGGGAATCAATAACACAGCTAACATACAAATTTTCCTCTAATTGGTAGAAAAACAAAGATTTCGTATCAGATAACTCCAGCTGCTAAATAGGATAGAGGAAAAATGTAGGAGTAAAAATTTTAGCATTAAAAATGAGATAGAGGAAAAAAATGTAGAAGTAGAAGAAAAGTAATATAAAATACATCCTTTGTTATGAGGATTCCTATAAAAATTTACATCTCTGCTCAAACAAGACGACTAAGTTTAGATTAAGAGATCTGTTTGTTTTAAAGAATTATGTTCAACCTAAAGCAATTTTAACATAGTAGTGGCTTAAGACCAATACAAAAAATATAGAGGAAAGATTGTGGCCAAAACAGAAATATGCATAAGCACTTCTTTCTTTTCTTTCCACCAACATGATGTAAGAGAAGTTGTTTTATATTGTTACTCTTCATGCTTATTCTAAATCATCCTATAGTTAACTTGAAAATAATACACTGAATATTATTTTTGTGTGTATTGCATTTGACTCAAAGGTTTAAATTTATACAAGTGTACAAGGATCTATAAATATAACCATGATGTTACAATCCTAATTACCGTATTTAGGCAATCTCAATTTTAGGTTCCTAATTACAATATTTACATATCAACATTACATATCAATAAAACAAAAAATAATCTTCCACCAAATCAAGAAATATTCTCTGAACATTCCCCTTAAGCTGGTGAATAAATATCTATCATTCTCAACTTGTCAATAAGAGTTTTGAATTGCTTTGTAGGTAGTCCCTTAGTCTAAATATTCGCCAATTGTTCTCCAGAAGGAACATATGTTGTTTTTATGAGCCACTCTCCATCTTTTCTTTGATAAAGTTCTAATGTAGTTCAAATATGTTTTGTTCTATCATGTTGGACTGATTATAAACAATATTGATTGTCATCAAGGATAATCTTCTTGTAATAGTAACTGTTCATTAATATCAACTAGTTAAAAATAAAAAATGTTCCAAATTGAGTTCTCATAGTATCAACTATAGATATTATTTTCAATTACCTAGATTATTATAATTTAATTGCTTAAACAAAAATAGTGCATAATAAAACAAGAGAAATTTATAAAAGATTTAAACTAAAAAGAGTAATGAAAAGATGAAAAAATAAAATGCAACTTTTGACATGAAAACTATTTAAGATGGACCCAAGGCATATGATTTCACTTTTATACCACTTTATGTTTGCTTTTAGTTTAACCCCAATCTCGTTTTTTTTATGATTGTCAATCACTCATACTAAAGCTACTAACGCTCAATGGTCATTCAATGTTAATATTTTTTCCTCTAAGTTATTACCCCTATTAATGGTCATGCAAGGTAGAAAGAAAGAGAGGGAAAGCATAAAAATCCTATAAGTTTGTTAATTCAATAATCAATTGAAAGAGAAAAACTAAGCTTGATCTACTTTATTTTTTGTTCTGTTTTACCATATAGATCCATTAACTCCATATAGTATAGTCATCTGCAATGCAATCAATTATGAGATATTAAAAGTGATCAATTCCTAACATACAAATATACATACACTAGGGCAAAACCAATTGTTGAAAGAAACTGCAATTGTCATTAAATAGAAAGATCACTTAAAATGTGCAAAGAATCCACCATAAACCTAATTATGAATTTAATTACTAATAATAAATAAACAAAAAAATCAAATGTAAAGAAACAAATATTCATTTAAAAAGGAAACACAAACTAGAAAAACCCCAAAAGAAAAGAGATTAAAAGAATTCTTGTTTCCAAAATGCAATCTCACTCGAAACCTTGAAAAGGTATTCTTCATCTTCATCAATGATCCCCACTCCTAAGCACCTCAAACAGTCGTCAAAAGTTAGTCAAGGCAAAGTCTCAAAGCCTCTTAGTCTTTGAGTGTCAAAGTGTGTAAGGCCCTTTATATAGAATGTAGAATCTAAAAAGATATGATTTATCTTTCAAAATATATGTTTTATCCTAAAAAACTAATCTATAAATATATATATATATATATATATATAATATTCTTTTATCAAATTTGAATATTATATTCAATTTCAATTTCAAAATCTACTTATTCTTTGCTCATGTTCAACAACTTTTTTTTATGGTTTAACATTTTTTAATAAAGTTGTATTGTTACCATTTCTTACAGTAAAATTAAGAGAAATTTAACCAGTGATAAAATAATCATTCCAATAGAAAAATAGGCTAAAATCTCATAGTTACATTGATAGAATGACATTTTATCAATGACTCATATCCCATGAGTCATGGATGAAAATTCTGATTTTGCACTTGATGGCAATACTACATTCTATTTTTTACTTATCTAAGTCACCAAGTTGCACACCCAAGTGTGGAATGTCTTGAAGTGGACCGTCTATCAACGCTTGATCAGGCATAAACTACATCAGCATACATCTCCAGTGATGATTTACCTTTTTTGTTAAACAACATTCCCTTTCTAGGATTATTCTTCAAATACTAGAGAATTCTGATAACTGCATGCAGATGTCTTTTCCGTGGATCGTTATGACTTACTACGCTGACTGCACATGCTTTATCAGGTCGAATGTGAAATTTTTATATTACAATCCTAATTACCGTATTTATACAGTCCCAATTTTATGTTCCTAATTACTATATTTACATATCAATATTCATAGTTACCATAGTTACATGTCAAAAAAACAAAAGATAATTTTGTACCAAATTAGGAAATATTCTCTCAACAAATTACTAGTTATTAGTATAGACATGGGTAAAGTACTAAAGCTTTTATATTAGAAAAGATAATGTTAATTTTTCAAAAGGTCTCTTAGGGTTCGTTTGGTGCATAGAATTAGAATTTGAGTATAAAATTATAATTCCAATATCAGAATTGGAATTGGTTCAAAATTATAATTCTACGTTTTGTGTGTACTCAAATAATTAGAATATAAAATTAGAATTCTAAGTTGAAATGAAAAGTGTGAATGTAAGATCTAAATTTTTAATTCAATTTTGCATTAAAAAATTATTTAATAATTTTTTCCAAAAAATAATGTATGAATTAAAAATATAAAAAAAATTTAAATAAATTGTTAAAAATGATATAATTAAATAATAATTATATGTTTCCACTGATATCTAATAATTCAAGAAAAATATCAAACAATTTATTATATAATTAATATAAACAATATAGTTTACAGCAAGTATAGAAAGTGCAAAGTAGTAATACAATATAGTTTGCAGTAAGTGTAGAATAAAAAGAAAGAAGACATAAAAGAAGAATAGAAAAAAAAAAAGAGGAATAAAAAAATCACTTTTATTAATAATCAACTTAAAACGAGGAAGAAGATAATAAAAAAAAATAAGAGAATATAAGAAAAGAAGTGATTTAATAATCAACGTAAAAGTAGAATTAAAAAGAAAAGAAAATACAGAAAAAATAAGAGAACATAGGAGAGAGAGAACAAAGGAAGAAGGAAAGGAAAAAAATATCTGGGAAAGAACAAAATTCACAAAGACAAGGAACAATAGAGACGAGGATGCACGGTCAGTGAAAGAGTGTATTTGTGAATTATAATATTATGAATTCAAATTCTTAAAATGCAGGTTATGAATTAAAGTGAGCCAAATTTAGTTGTCATAGAATTCCATAGAATTATAATCTCAATTTTAAATGGATATCCAAACATGATAATTAAAATTCTGAATCCAATTCTAATTCTAATTTCTAATTCCATATTCAATTCTGTACATCAAATGGTCACTTAGGAAACTAGAAAAATAAGCAATTATTTCTCTAAAATAAGCTAAAGTTCCAAACCAAACACAACACTTGATTCTTTAATTGCCATGTTTGTATCTTAATATAGATAAAGATAAAATTCATTATATTGTATAAGAATAGGCTGAGTACATGGATCTAAAATGTGAAAATGTGTGGAAACTGATGGATCTATAAGAATACATGGCATGACAACTTTAGATTAAATCTCAATGGGTTAATCCTCCATAATGTACCCGGTGAACATTCAACGCCTTTCTGTTAGCATAGTCTTGATTTTTGGTTGGGCATTACTCAAATCCAAAAGCTAGCTTAAGAGGTGAGGATTGTCCAAATTTTTATAAGCTTTACTTTGGCTATATCTATAGTTGATGTGGGATCCCAACACAGAAATTAAATGATTTTTCTCATGTTCCAATTTCATGGCTATGACATATCCAATACTTGGCTACAGGATATTCAGGAGTATTTTGCCCACTACATGGTTAAAGACAGCTTAGGAATTATTGCAAGTGCACACACTGTCTTTGCTGATAGGGATCCTGAAAAGGCAATGAGCTCTTCATGTATTGAGCTTGCAAAGCTACACTCTGTGGCTGTTGATTTTGCAAAATCTGGTGTGCCAGCAGAAATACCACAGCATCTACGCGTGGAAGAGTATCCGGATTTCATGGAAAAGTCAGACAAGCCAAGTTATCAATCAAATAGCATAATAGGAAAGCTTTATCGTGACGTGAAGAATGTGGCACAACAAAAGAGCCTTACTAAGCCCTTCACTAGAAAAGTGGCAAGGGAATCATATGACCATGACATGATGATTGATGGTTTTGAGAAGTATACAACTATTGCTAGTGAATACAAAAACATGTATGATTTCAAGTTGGTAAGCCTAATGGATTACTATGGTATAGAGACAGAAGCAGAAATAATCAGTGGCAATGTCTTGAAAATGTCAAAATCCTTCAATGAAAGAAAGGATTTGGAAGGAGTTATTCATGCGGTGATGTCACTAAGAAAGGAAGCTAAGAGCTGGTTCAATGAGATGATAAGCAAGTCAAATTCTCAAAGTGATAATGCCTATGCAATAGCATCAGCTTGGTACCATGTTACATATCATCCTAGTTACTGGGGATGCTACAATCAGGGAATAAACAGGGATCATTTCCTCAGTTTCCCATGGTGTATACATGACACTCTCATCCAGATAAAGAAGACCAAAGCTAGTCATAGGAATTACCGAATTAAGCTTTGGACATTACTGAAACTGTTTCCTTTGCTACTGTTTTGCTTCCTATTGTGGATAATAGTGCAATATCCAATTGATTGAATATGAAGCTAACAGTTATCAATTCAAATTACTTATTATATATTATTTCATATGAAGTAAAATATATAAATTGTTTGTTCTTTTCCTTATTTCTTATTTATTTTGCGGAATTAACCTTGTAAAAGGTTGTTGCCGTCAGATACAAAAGATTAAATGAATAAGCACAACTATCATTTCCAACTATTTAGATATGAAGAACAAGCATGTTCTGAATTCCTTCATTCAAATCAATTTGAAGAATATGCAATCTTTGTAATTCCATCTGCAGTGCATACAAGCATATTGGCAGTATTTATAGTTTTAAGCAAGAGCTGCATCATAATGATAAACTATTCCACCCCCAACTCAGCCTCAGCAAGTGCTGTCCATGATCAAATAAGCCTATCAAGGCCATTTGACCAGACACTTCAACCTGACATAAGATACAAATTATAAGACACAAAACAACAACCACTATATTATGGACCAAATTTTGAGTACTCATGCACTACCCAATCCTTTAGTAGTAGTTAGTATTCCTAATTTGACAAGCAAAAGAAATTTTAAAATAGTAAAAAAATAACCATACATGCAGTCTCATGATTTTAATGAAAAAGTATATACTCCAGTAATACTGATTTTTTTTTCTACCATATGAAGTAACAAACACACTACGGACCAAAAGAAAAATACAAGAAAACACAAAAACGCGTGAGGATCAGTCCAGCTAGCAATAAAATTTATTTATCTGCCTTGCTAGATCATTGAGTATCATTCCACTAGATAGAACAATATTATTAACTCAAACAGAAAAGCTTGACATAAACTTCTGAACTAGAAAACAACAGTGTTGCATGTGTATCTTGTTTTATTTCTTTCATTTTATGAAATGTTTAAATAATAAAATACAAGTAAAGCTTATTTTTGTCTTTGAAATTGTAAACATTGGTTACTTTAGTTCTTAACTTTACAAAATTCCCATTTTAATTTCAAATTTTGTAAAATGATATTTATTTTAATCTTTTTTCTACTTCATTTTTCATTATTGTTTAACATTAACAGAGACTATAATGAGTAACATTTCACAAAATTGAAGACTACAGTAAACAATACTTCCAATTTTAAAGACTAAAGTGGGGGAGAATGTACTACTTGAAAAGATTCAATTCAAAATGAAAACTCAACCCTTCCCTTTCTTCCAAATCTAATGAGGGTTTTTATGTTTCTGCCTTTTCTTTCTGTTGTAATAAATGACACTGGTTTTTTATTTTTTATTTTTGAAGTTTAACTCAATTATATTGGACATCATATTGTTTCAAAAATTACGCTCACCTCCTTGAGATTCAGTTATAGTTACACCTCGAGAGAGATAGCTCAACTTGATGGGAGTAAAAAGACAAAAATGATAGATTGAGAGAGAAATGTCAAAGTATTTAATGTGGTTCATTTACGGCTATGTTAGAAAAGTAATTTTATTGAAACATTATCACGGCTATGATAGATTATATATATATATATATATATATATATATATATATTAGTGTGAGTCCAATGCACGAAATAATTTATAATATTAAATTTTAAAATTTTTATTATTAAAAAATTATAAAATAAATTTAAACTATTTAATAATTTAATTTGTATATATTTATCATATAAACATATAACAGATTAAATATGCATTAGTGATTATATGTTATTTATTATTATTAATATAAATATAATCATTTTTTCACTCTTTGTTAAAGAAATTAATTTAATAATATAAATATATTAATTATTTTTTACTATTCAAATAAAATAAATTTTGATGATATTATTTTAGAATAATATAAATAAAACTAAGATTATTACGATTATTAAAGTAAGCATTGTTATTTTGTCATAAATAAAAAATATTATTATTAGAAATATATGACTTCTTAATGAATATATTCATGTTAATTCCTGTGTAAAAATTGTATTCCGTCCAGTAATATTTTCACCTTATAACAACAAAATATATAAGAAATATAGTAAACAAAATCTAAATAACATTAAGTAATATTTAAATATCTTCTTATATCTTGTCAAAAACTTCTTTGAATACTACATTTGATGTAAATCGAGTTGACTTCTCATCTTCATCTAAAATCAATATTTTCAATCCATCTTTCTTTCTCACTCTTGAGATAGCAACATATAATTGACCATGAGAGAACATTGGCCTTAGCAAGTAAAGACCAATATTAGAAAGTCTTTGTCATTGACTTTTATTAATAGTCATTGCAAAACAAAGAGCTAACAGAAATTGTTTTTCTTTAAAACCTGAAAGGTAATCAGGAATGTGAAGGAACTAAATTCATTCTTGGGATAAATACTTTATCACCCATATTTCTTCCTATAACAACAGTCGTTGCAATTATGTTTCTTCCCAATTGATTAACAATCAGTCTAGTTCTGTTGCATAATCCATTTGCTTGATCTATATTCCTCAAAAGCATAACTGGAACACCTACCTTCAAAATTAATCTGTGGTTTGGAAATCTTGAACAGTTAATTTCATTCAAAAATTCAGTAGTAAATCAGTCAACTTCTGTTTTAGAATTTTCATCATATGAGCAAGTTGAATCAGAACTTAAATATTCTCTTTCTTTTCCGGGCATCAAAGAGGGAATTAATTCATTTACTTTCTCAACACTTTTTAAAGTAGGCGCTAATATTGCTCTCTGTTCAAAGAATTTAAAATCAGCACAATTATGGACTAAACTTGGATATCCAAATTCTACTAAATGCATAAGACTATTATCTTTTTCAATAATGAGAAACTCTTCTGGAATTTCAAATGTACAATCTTCATCATCGTTAACTCTCATTTGTCCATCGCCTATTTGAAGAATTCAATCTATAAAAAACTTAGTTTCAAATATAACAGAAGTGTTTTCTACTATGTCGATAATCTCATATTTGTCAACTTGAGCACTTTGCAATGAGCCCATAGATAAGAAAAGTTCACAGTTGTGAAAAGAACATCTTCACGACTACCTTTTAGAATGACCGAAAGTATTTGTCCAAAATCTCCTCTCAATACAATAACTTTTTCACCAAAAGGTTCATTCATACTATTTGAATTTTTCACTCTCATTAAATCTCTTAACCTACTATCTAGAGCTTCAAAACAAAATTTATTAAGCGTGGGGCTTCATCCCATATGATAAGACTTAGATGTTCATTAATAGATCAACTTTCAAACTTCCTTGCTTAATGGAATTGAAAATCAGGAATGAGTTGTCCTTCCTCCAGGAAGAAGTAAAGAAGCAATACCACTTGAAGCCACATTGAGAACAATCAGTTGTTTAGATTGAAGAGCTGCTGATAGAGTATTCTAAATGTATGTTTTTCCTGTTTCTCCATATCCTTATAAGAAGAAAAAATCACCAGATTTATTTAAGATTGAGCTCATGATTTCATGGTAAACAACTTTTTGTTCCAATGTTAAAGAATATAAAAGTCTACTATATTATTCAACCAATTCAATTGTGTTGTAATTGAGCTCTTATAAATTTATTTTCAACTAAACTAAAAATTGAATCTTCTAAAATTGGCATACAGGTGTAGTCTCTTAATGACTTTCCATTGCTTTGATAATTTTTTCAACCTCGACCAAACAAAAATTTTTCAAGTTGTGAAATAATAGAACTTAATAAATAATTGTGTCAATTTTTCCATAAAATTAAGTTTATGTAATTAGTAATATTAAAAAATTAATTTAAATTATTTTAATATATTAACCCGTCGTTAATCATATTTTTTACACAATTTATTAAATTTTTGTTCTTCTATTTAAAATTAAACTAAATTAAATAAAATCTTACACATTGTAAGTTATAATTTAGGTTTAAATTTAATATATTTATCATTTTTTATTAGCTTAATTCAACAAAATAGAAGATAAAAAAATAACACTTTGATTATAATAAAAAATAACAATTTTTGTCATCAACTTAATTAAAATATACATATTATATATATCATGCTAATTTTATCAAATAAATATTTATGTTAATATAAATATTTCCTTCTAGTATATATATATCCTTATATGTGCATTCATTTGTTTAAACAATGTAAATTTTTATAATAAATTTTTAACTTTTTGTTTTATATAAAAGAGATTATTATAAAAAAATATTTACAAATTAAATTATATAATCATATTATTCAAATTTTAAAAAATCTATTCATTGAAAAGGTAAAAAAAATAAAACTTAATAAATGAATGTGTCATTTTTTCCACAAAATAAAGTTTATTTAATTAGTTATATTAAAACTCAATCTAAATTATTTTAATATACTAACATGTTGTGAATCATTTTTTTACGTGATTTAGTTAGATTTTTTTTCTTTTATTTAAAATAAAATATTACACATTGTAAGTTATAATTTATATTTAAAATTAACAATTTTTGTCGTCACCTTAATTAAATATATATATATATATATTATGCTAATTTTATAAAAAATTATTTATATTAATATTAATTGTACTGGATAGGGAACTGCTCAGTCCTACATATAGGAAAAGGAAACTGAGTACCTATTCAGCCCAGTTTGGACGAATGCCTTTTCGTCAGGATTAAAAGGTAATTAACCCAATTAAGGGTAATAATCAGAACATTATCTACTTTAAGCAAAGGGCCAAAATCAAGGCTGACTCAACAGGCCCATTAACCCATAATAATACCTATAAAAGGAAGGTAGGAAGTACAGGTAAAGGGTTGACTTTTCATTATTAAATAGCATTTATTGCTTAGAACTGAATCCTAACTTCAGCATCGGAGTGCCTTTTGTAGGTACCCTCCCCACATCAGCGACAGTCTGAGGGATGTCATCACTTCAAAGCAGAGACTTGAAGACTAGTGTTTCCCTAACAGGAACATTTTGGCGCCCACCGTGGGGCTCGAACCCACGACCACAAGGTTGGGAGTCTTGCTATTTTGATCAATATGGTACTAACAAGAAGCCAACAGGACGGACATGTT